CAATAATGCGCAAGTGGTCTCGCCTCTCATTGATGCCTGTTTATATTAACTAGTCGACCAGAAATGTTCGAAAAGAAGCAAGTCAAGATCTTATAGTATTTCAGAAGCCAAAAAGACAATCCTCGAGACTATCAAACCCAAATAAAAGGACCAATTCTAGATCTTATAGTATTTCAGCATCCCAAAAGACCACATCCTCGAGACTATCAAACCCAACATAAAAAGGACCAATTCTAGATCTTATAGTATTTCAGCATCCCAAAAGACCACATCCTCGAGACTATCAAACCCAACATAAAAACAAAGGACCAATTCAAGATCTTATAGCATTTCAGCAGCCAAAAAGACAACATCCTCGAGACTATCAAACCCAACATAAAAAGGACAAATTCTAGATCTTATAGTATTTCAGCATCCCAAAAGACTACATCCTCGAGACTATCAAACCCAACATAAAAAGGACAAATTCTAGATCTTATAGTATTTCAGCATCCCAAAGACTACATCCTCGAGACTATCAAACCCAACATAAAAAGGACCAATTCTAGATCTTATAGTATTTCAGCATCCCAAAAGACTACATCCTCGAGACTATCAAACCCAACATAAAAAGGACCAATTCTAGATCTTATAGTATTTCAGCATCCCAAAAGACCACATCCTCGAGACTACCAAACCCAACATAAAAAGGACCAATTTAAGATATATATGATTTAAGCAGTCAAAAAGACCACATCATCGAGACTACCAAACCCAACATAGAGAATCATTGAATAACCAAACAAAACAAAACAAAAAAAATGTTTCTACATCTATGTGGCTTAAAATTTACACTGATCTCCGAAAGGAGTTTGCCAGAAAATTTGATGTTAAGGTCTCTATTGTCCCATTGGTTTTTTGGCCGTTGGTGTCTATAACAACGAACATAAGGACCTACGTGGAAGGAATTGGAATGCGGAGTAATGGATAGCAGGTCAGAATGAAGATTCGAAGATTCGAATTCTATTCGAATCTATTATATTAACTTAAGTACTTTGGGAAAGGTATGAATCCTCTTTTTCTCCTACCAGCTATGGGTAAATAGCAGGATAGACGGGGTACAATAGCCTTGGATAGCAACTGTTCTACCACAGAAAGAAATGGCAACGTACTGCCGGAAAAAATCTGACACGTTAGTCATGTATTGAAAGATACATGATCGATTAATCGTGTATCACACATAGCACTAAGAAGCACATCACTTCAAGAGTCTACATTGCATGCCTCTGCCAATATTCTGCGAAAGAAACCATGTATTTGACGTTGTAATTTTAGATGGGAACCACCCATAATGCACTACCTCCGCTTGTATACGAAAAACCATGTGGTTGAAGTAATAATAATAATAATAATAATAATAATAATAACGGAGATATAGGACCTGTTACAATTCTATGGGACTACACAATACACACTGACAGAACAATCAAAGCCAACCGGCCAGAAATTGTTATTAAAGACCACAAACAAAAACGGTGCCTCCTTATTGATATGGTAGTCCTGCTGACTGCAATGTATCTTTGAAGATATTCAAAAATCTGTCAAAATACAAGGACCTTGAAATAGAAATCTCGAAAATGTGGCATATGGGAACATCAACAATTCCTGTTGTTGTTGGAGCCCTAGGACTGGTTGGAAAAGATTGCAGTAGACTGAGGGATTCCTGGAAGTCCATGCCTAAAGGAGATACAAAAAAATTGTTCTGACAAGTACAGCCCACACTTTACGAAGAGATTTATTTATGTGATTTTTTTTTTTTTGTAAGTGAAAATTGTCATGATGCCATTTCTAAATTTAGGTCTCTGGGCGGGATCCGGAAAGAAATGTGTAAACGCCAGAAATCAAAAAAATAAAAATAAAATAATAATAATAATAATAATAATAATAATATAAAAATATCCTCAATTGTGCAGCACAAACCTTATGAAGGTCTGTATCTATGTAAAATCTATGTATCTATGTGTGTGATCTTAGATTTGTTTGTTATTTTGTCTCTCTTTTTTGTTGTTTTTTGTTTTTCAATTTATTTTAAAAAAATTCTCATTGGAAAATGCCATGATGCCATTTCTGCACTTCGATCTCTGGTTGGGAACCGGAACGAATAAATATGCATCAGAAATCAATGTAAATACTAATAATAACAATAATGAATTAACGGAATAAATATTTATGAGAACGGTCTGTTTGCATTATATACGAAAATATATCCTTAAAAAAATCTTGTACAAAAAACTGGCATTCATTTCTCTATAGAATCTTAAAGGAAAGACAACAAATCCGTAATCGCTTTTTTTATTTTATTTTATTTTAGTTTAGTTATTATTTTTCGCAATATGGATCATTGATTTCTGCTCTACTGCGTTTTATCATGGGAGTGTTGTCAGGCTCATGAAACTCAATTCCTGTTTTCTTATCTTAAATTTTTTTGTTGGATGTAGAAATATCCAAGATCACACTTGCA